ATAATAACTGTCACCTAGTCAACATATACGGCAACTCCAGGGCAGACAGACAGGATTGTGGACATGATTGTCTGGAAGAAGCAATATGCCGGCTCAACCCAAACAGGATAAGAGTGCACATCCCATATGTGCATCACAAATAGGGCTGGGCGATATGGCCTAAAACTCTTGATTTTTTTCAAACTTATGGGCGATTCACAGTATACAGTACCAGTCAAAAGTTTGGACACACCTACTCATTCCAGGGTTTTTCTTTATTTTTACTATTGTCTACATTGTAGAATAATAGTGAAGACATCAAAACTATGAAATAACACATATGGAATCATGTAGTAACCAAAAAAGTGTTAAACAAATCAAACTATATATATTTGAGATTCTTCAAAGTAGCCACCCATGCACACTCTTGGCATTCTCTTAACCAGCTTCATGAGGTAGTCACCTGCAATGCATTTCAATGAACAGGTGTGCCTTCTTAAAAGTTAATTTGGGGAATTTATTTCGTTCTTAATGCGTTTGAGCCAATCAATTGTGTTGTGACAAGGTAGGGTTGGTATACAGAAGATAGCCCTATTTGGTAAAAGACCAAGTCCAAATTATGGCAAGAACAGCTCAAATAAGCAAAGAGAAATGACAGTCCACCATTACTTTAAGACATGAAGGTCAGTCAATCCGGAAAATTTCAAGAACATTGAAAGATTCTTCAAGTGTAGTCACAAAAACCATCAAGCGCTATGATGAAACTGGCTCTCATGACGACCGCCACATGAAAGGAAGACCCAGAGTTACCTCTGCTGCAGACGATAAGTTCATTAGTTACCAGCCTCAGAAATCGGCAATTAACTGCACCTCAGATTGCAGCCCAAATAAATGCTTCACAGAGTTCAAGTAACAGACATCTCAACATCAACTGTTCAGTGGAGACTGCATGAATCAGGCCTTCATAGTCAAATTGCTGCAAAGAAACCACTACTAAAGGACACCAATGAAAAGAAGAGACTTGCTTAGTCCAAGAAACACGAGCAATAGACATTAGACTGGTGAAAATCTGTCCTTTGGTCTGATGAGTCCAAATTTGAGATTTTTGGTTCCAACCACCGTGTCTTTGTGAGACACAGAGTAGGTGAACGGATGATCTCTGCATGTGTGGTTCCCACTGTGAAGCATGGATGAGGAGTTGTAATGGTGCTTTGCTGGTGACACTGTCAGTGATTGTATTTAGAATTCAAGGCACACTTAACCAGCATGGCTACCACAGCATTCTGCAGTGATACGCCATCCCATCAGGTTTGCGCTTAGTGGGACTATCATTTGTTTTTCAACAGGACATTGACCCAACACACCTCCAGAATGTGTAAGGGCTATTTGACCAAGAAGAAGAGTGATGGAGTGCTGCATTAGATGACATGGCCTCCACACCTCAACCAAATTGAGATGGTTTGGGATGAGTCGTACCGGAGAGTGAAGGAAAAGCAGCCAACAAGTCCTCAGCATATGTGGGAACTCCTTCAATACTGTTGGAAAAGCATTCCAGGTGAAGCTGGTTGAGAGAATGCCAAGAGTGTGCAAAGCTGTCATCAAGGCAAAGGGTGACTACTTTGAAGAATCTCAAATATATTTTGATTTGTTTAACACTTTTTTTGGTTACTACATGATTCCATATGTGTTATTTCATAGTTTTGATTTCTTCACTATTATTCTACAATGTGGAAAATAGTACAAATTAAGAAAAACCCTTGAATGAGTAGGTGTTCTAAAACTTTTGACCAGTAGTGTAGGTCCTGGATGGCAGGAAGCTTGGCCCCAGTTATGTACTGGGCCGTACGCACTACCCTTTGTAGCGCCTTATGGTCGGATGCTGAGCAATTACCATACCAGGCAGTGATGCAACCAGTCAGGATGCTCTCGATGGTGCAGCTGTATAACTTTTTGAGGATCTGGGAACCCATGCCAAATCTTTTCAGTCTCCTGAGGGGGAAAAGGTGTTGTTGTGCCCTCTTCACAACGGTCTTGGTGTGTTTGGACCATGATAGTTTGTTGGTGATGCTCCACTACAGACCCGTCGATGTGAATGGGGGCGTGTTCGGCCCTCTTTTTCCTGTAATCCACAATCATCTCCTTTGTCTTGCTCACGTTGTGGGAGAGGTTTTTGTCCTGGCACTAAACTGCCAGGTCTCTGATCTCCTCCCTATAGGCTGTCTCATCGTTGTCGGTGATCAGGCCTACCACTGTTGTGTCGTCAGCAAACTTAATGATGGTGTTGGAGTCGTACTTGGCCACGCAGTCGTGGGTGAACAGGAGGTAACTAAGGACGCACCCCTGAGTGGGCCCCGTGTTGAGGATCAGCGTTGCAGATGTGTTATTGCCTACCCTTACCACCTGGGGGCGGCCCATCAGGAAGTCCAGGATCCAGTTGCAGAGGGAGGTGTTTAGTCCCAGGTTATTTATATATATATATAAACAAGTTATTTCAGTGATGCAAGTCTATAACCTTATTTAATTCTTAGAAGTCTAAGTTTTTTTTGGGGGGGGGGGGTCTAAGCTGACATATGAAATAGTTTTAAGGTGGTCATACTATGGATCATTTAGCTATTTGATTTGGAATTTTAGGACCCCTTCAGGTACTACTATAGGCCAAAGAAACACATTGAATAACACATTCATAAATGGCACAAAAAAAGACAGTAAAAAAAGAAACAAGGTTTTTAAGTGTTTGTCCTATATAGAAACAAGGTTTTTAAGTGTTTGTCCTATATCTAGGAGATATAAGAAAGGTCAGGAAATATATATATTATTTATTTTTTACACATATTTAACCCCTTTTTGGGTAGGTTCACAACTACCCAAAAAGTTAGAACAAATTCTTATTTACCATGACGGTCTACCTCGGCCAAACCCAGACGACGCCTGGAATTGAACCAGGGTCTGTAGTGATGCCTCTTGCACTGAGATGCAGTGCCTTAGACCGCTGCGCCACTCGGGAGCCCATAATCTTTTAACCGGTACCGGATACCTTCAGACGAGTCCCGTGACGTAGAACAAAACCGAGACCACCATCGTGTTCTTGAGAATTTCCACCTTTCCATAGAGTGGTAACATTAGTGGACGCATCCAATGCAAAAAAACATATCTCTAGCTTAAACTGACGGATTTTGATAGGGATTTTTTTATTACCTGTGTGTCAATCAACTCTAGGGGGTTAAAGGGGCAATCTGCGATTGCTACAAATGCAAGCTTGATTTACTCCATTGTTTGTAAATTATGTAATTGTAAATAAACACTGTATAGCCTCAACATGGTTAAAACTATAATTATGATCTCATGGATGGTCAGTCCTCACATCCATAGCTCCGTTTATGAATTTCTCCAGCTCCATCCCAAAAACAGTAGCGGGGTATTGTTTGAACTGCAGATTGTCTCTTTAACAAACTATTGTAACCTCACTTATTCTCTCTTTCCTAAGGAGACATCAATGAGATGACCTGGGAACTCAAAATCAGACCAAATTCACTAGACGACTAAGGACCTTATTCCAACTGTGTGCAGCAACACTTCATTCAAACGCAGAGAAGAGCAATCTCATTGCTGAGCCAATGTGGAAGCTGCACCTTCAGAATGGCATGACTTATTTCCTTGCCTGGATTTCAGCACACAGTCAGATCTACCAGGTGTGGAATAGTTATTTTTTGATTTGATGTAACTCATAGTAAAATGATATAATGCATATTCAATGTTACCTTACCTTTTTAGATTGAAGAATTATAGGTAACACTTTATTAGGATAGTCTGTAGTCGCTCTATCATTAACATGTCAACAAACTATTTACTAACCCTAACCCTTATCCAAACCTTATTCTAACCGTAACCTTAGCAAGCACTTGCTTATCAACTGATAGTTTGTTGATAGTATGACCAGCTGTAGAACATCTACAGATGGAAAATCCGGATTATAATTATAGGATTGCAATGTATACCAGGGAGAGACTATGCATTTTTACCAATCGCAAACGAGCCCAAGCATCTCACACTGTACGTTAAAGCTTCCACGTCTTGCAGTCTTTATTCAATCCACACTACACAACATTTTTACATTTTTTTTTTTACATTTTAGTCATTTAGCAGACGCTCTTATCCAGAGCGACTTACAGGTAGTGAATACATATATATATATATTTTTTTTATACTGGCCCCCCGTGGGAATCAAACCCACAACCCTGGCGTTGCAAACGCCATGCTCTATCAACTGAGCTACATCCCTGCCGGCCATTCCCTCCCCTACCCTGGACGACGCTGGGCCAATTGTGCGCCGCCCATGAGTCTCCCAGTCGCGGCCGGCTGCGACAGAGCCTGGATTCGAACCAGGATCTCTAGTGGCACAGTTAGCACTGCAAAGCAGTGCCTTAGACCACTGCGCCACTCAGGAGCGTGGTGCAAGTTGACTTTCAGGATTTGCCCTGTACCTTTCGTACCATAGTTTGTTTATATCTATTGGTTATTGCAGATTGTTGAAAGGCGCATTTGATCTACCTTGGCCAGCAGAGTTTCACGTTTGGAGGGATTCTTTCGGTCCCTAGTTGCAAACTCCACCTACTCGGCGAGCGAATCTAGTGTGCCTGTTCACAAATTGCCTCGTCACACTTCTCACACTGCACGCGCCATGACAAAAATATTTGCCAAACTATAAATTGAATGGTTGGCCCTCTCATACTGTGAGGCAAGGATGCCACGAGATATCCCATTTACAAACAATCTTGAAAATGTGTCATCAGGCCTCTAGGCAAAATTGTAGCCGATTTCGCAGTCTTCCCTTTTATTCACTGGAAAGAGTAACTTTGATTAAATGTTAAGGAATATACTGATTTGAGTTTAATGTAATTTCTTCTTTTTTTTTTTTACATATCTTTATAGGACAGAGTATGCCATCTGCATCTTTCCACAGAATTCTGCGACCCTTTCTACTTGGCACCTTTCTACTGGGATGTTTTGTGACTTTCTTTTTGATGTACTTTAAACCGTCAACTAGCTGGCTATCAGGTCCTGTAGAGTCAACAGCATCCACTATCCAAGTTAAAAACCTCTTCTCTACCAAGGGTGACAAAAACCTTACCACAGTACTTGTCTGGCTCTGGCCCTTTGGACAGACCTATGACCTGGGTATCTGCAGCTCTCTGTTCAACATTGAGGGCTGTTTCATCACAGCAGATCGGAACCTATATAATAAGTCAGATGGGGTCGTCATACATCACAGGGATATCTGTACTGATCTCTCCAACCTGCCCCCCCTTCAGCGTCCCTCCTTCCAAAAGTGGATATGGATGAACCTAGAGTCACCATCCCACTCCTCTCAGCTGCCCGGAATTGAAAACTTGTTCAATTTAACTCTGAACTATCGTCAGGATGCTGATATCGAAGTGCCTTACGGGTCGATTGTGACGGCCCAAGGGGATGAGGATTTCGTGCCACCGAGCAAAAGCAAGTTGATCTGCTGGATTGTCAGCAACTGGAACCAGGATCACGTGCGAGTGAAGTACTACAACGAGCTCTACAAATATATTGAGGTTCATGCTTACGGACAAGCCTTTGGAGAGTACATTGCAGATCAAGAATACTTTCCTACCATCGCCAGTTGTAAATTCTACTTGGCGTTTGAGAACTCAATTCACAAAGACTACATCACAGAGAAACTGTATAACCCACTCTCTGTAGGGACGGTGCCTGTGGTTTTAGGCCCACCAAGACCAAACTATGAGAACTTTGTCCAGGGGGGAGCCTTTATCCATGTGGATGACTTCACCTCACCCAAAGAGCTGGCTGATTATCTCCTGCTCTTGGACAAGAATGAGGAAATGTATCTCAGATACTTTGAGTGGCGACGGCACTTTAAGGTGAAAAAGGCATACTTCTGGGCCGAACACACATGCCTCGCTTGTGATTATCTCAGAAGGCACAAGGAGTACAAGGCATTCAATAACCTTGATAAATGGTATTGGGGTGGAATGCCTTAAAGGGCCATGAAATTGTTGTTTTGCAGTTGGAGGCATTGCTTTAAAATATATTCAGTCATTATGTATGCGCCAACATGTTTTTCTCATTGTTTACTGGGGCCCAAATTAGCCATTCTCTTTTTTATTTTGTTGCCAGACAGATTTTCTCAGCCTTACTTTGCCTTTTGCATTTTTAATAAATCATGATTTATGTTGTCATTTGCAATGTATTTAATTTTTGTTAAATAAAATCTCAGTTTTCTACAGTACATGACCAAAGGTATGTGGACACCGGCTCGTCGAACATCTCATTGTTGGTCCCCCGTTTGCTGCTATAACAGCCTCCACTCTTCTGGGTAGGCTTTCCACTAGATGTTGGAACATTGCTGCAGGGACTTGCCACAAGAGCATTCGTGAGGTTGGGCACTGATGTTGGGCGATTAGGCCTGGCTCGCGGTCGCCGTTCCAATTCATCCCAAAGGTGTTCGATGGGGTTGAGGTTAGGGCTCTGTTTAGGCCAGTCAAGTTCTTCCACAACGATCTCGACAAACCATTTCTGTATGGACCTCGGTTTGTGCACAGGGGCAATTTCATGCTGAAACAGGAAAGGGCCTTCCCCAAACTGTTGCCACAAAGTTGGAAGCACAGAATCATCTAGAATGTCATTGTATGCTGTAGCTTAAGATTTCCCTTCACTTGAACTAAGTGGCCTAGCCCGAACCATGAAAAACAGCCCCGGACCATTATTCCTCCTCCACCAAACTTTACAGTTGGCACTATGCATTGGGGCAGGTAGCGTTCTCCCGGCATCCGCCAAACCCAGATTCGTCCGTGGGACTGCCAGATGGTGAAGCGTGATTCACTCCAGAGAATGCGTTTCCACTGCTCCATTGTGCATGGGGATCTTAGGCTTGTGTGCGGCTGCTCGGCCATGAAAACCCATTTCATGAAGCTCCCACCGAACAGTTATTGTGCTGACGTTGATTCCAGAGGCAGTTTGGAACACGGTAGTGAGTGTTGCAACCGAGGACAGACAATTTTTATCTGCTACGCGCTTCAGCACTCAGCGTCCCATTTTGTGAGTATGTGTAGCTTACCACTTCGCCGCTGAGCCGTTGTTGCTCCTAGACGTTTCCACATCCCTAATAAATACTAAATACAGCACTTACAGTTGACTGGTGCAGCTCTAGCAGGGCAGAAACTTGACGAACTGTGCAACGTTGAAAGTCACTGAGCTCTTCAGTAAGGCCATTCTACTGTCAATGTTTGTCTATGGAGATTGCATGGCTGTGTGCTCGATTTTATACACCTGTCAGCAAAGGGTGTGGCTGAAATAGCTGAATCCACTAATTTGAAGGGCTGTCCACATACCTTTGTATATATAATGTGTTTATTCTCTGAACGTGACCACATTTGCTGCTATTTGTTTTTTATGATGCACTGTAACTGTTTTTCCATAATGTGGGAATCAGGCTGGCATGACATCTTTCATATGGCATTATACAAAAAAATATTTAAATTGAAGAAATAGTTGTTTCAATTAAAATATGTATGTACTATTTATTGAATTGAGGCATTTTATGATAAAGACCTTCATATGTATTAGTGATACAGTCATCTATGCAGTGTTTATTGAACTTCAAATGTGAAAGTAGTTCAATTGTCCTTTACTGTAAAATGTACATGTGTATTTTTTGAAGAAAACACTCACTCTGACACTCATCTTTGATCATGTATGTACAGTAATACAGTGTAGAAAGAAGGAAAGAAAGATAATGAAAACATTTTGAACTATTATTATGCTAATAGTGGTTTTTTGGTGAGCATTATCACATTAAATGCATTGCAGTTCTATCATATGCCCCATTTAATATTTTACTTAGAATGCGAACATTATCCACTTTCATTTTGAATGTTTTTGCTCTCAAATATTTACATCCTATTGTGGTACAATGGTGAGAGCACACATTTTACATGAATAATGAATCATATGCTTATCTGTGTGTGTTTATTCCCATCTAGCCACATTGTCTTAAATATTTGCTTGTATATTTTTTACCTTTAAGAAAATGTCATCAGATGGGTTCAGTGCATGACAAATATGACACCTATTCAAGCTAGGATCTGCCCAAACATCTGTGGTTTCATTGTGAAAGATAATTGAATTGTTAACCAAAGTTACCTCCAACCTTGAACGTAAACACTACATAATGACCTGAGGTAGTATGTACATTATGTATTTGTAGGGGTTTTATTTACATTCATGTTAACACTTGTACTGCTTGTTTTTCCATGCTGTAAAATGAAAATGTCTAAATTGTCTCCACTGAACAATGCATCTAACCAGCTGTCAGCAGCTATTGGCATGATGCTTGAATCAGTAACACTTTACCTGAACTCTTCATAATAACAGAGTAATAATAGTGACAAGGTATCTAAAACTGTTATAACAAGTGTTACCCAAATGCTAGCTGTTGACAATAACTGTGTCATAACCATGAGAAATGTCATGAGTTTTTCACTGTACCTTAAGTTGAAGTAAAATGCTCATTTCATTAGTATAATATTGTCATTATAACATTATCCCACCAGCCACTAAACTTTCATGACATTTTTTCTACAATCTATTGCATGTACTGTAGTGCTTCACATTTCCGGTATAAGGTCTGGATCATGTGCAGCAGCATTTTGCACTAGAACATTCAACGTTGGATATTGCAGTGGAGAGATGAGGAGTAAACGTGCCAATTGGAATTAGGGTATGATTAGGTGCTATGATATAAAGCAGAGTATAGATCACTTTACTCTAATTATAGGTTCTTACATAATGTCATAATTTACAAAAATAAACATCAGGACAGTTTTCTTTTACACTTCCCATGTTTATGACACAGTGATGACGTAACCTACACTACAGCTAACCATGTGACTAACTGTTATGTTAACATATATCATAATACCGGTCATTATGTCATGTTTATGACAATATTATGATGCTGGTATGATGTATAGTTTAAATACAGTGTACCACTTTCGTTGAAGGTTGAATACACAAATCATTCAGCATACATTAACATTTTCATGAAATCGTTATCATAAAGACCTTCAGAGTGCATTCATAAAGCATATTAGTCATTAGCGACATTGAGTAGTACGTCACATGACAGGATAAATGTGAAAATAAAAGTCCCATGAACAAATACATTTTTGGCAAAACAAACATTTTTCTTTATTGGTTCACTGAAATACTGTTTATTTTTGACTATTTCCAAAACCTCTACAGCATTATTATATATCACTACAAAGTAACTATGAATGTTGTGTTGTCATTGTTATACTTTTTGTTTACTTTTAATTTAATTTCCAAATATCCATAGCCAGCACAAAACCTATTCTTGAAATGGTCTGCAATAATATCCTACCTCTGATGTTTTTACCAAAAGCCACAACAGAACGCTGTCACCGGCAATTGTTAAAAGCAATTTAGCCATTTCCTTTTGCTTTCCAATGTTAAAACACAAGGTTTACTTACAATGTATTATTTCATAATTGCTTAGCTGTGCCACTTCCTCCAGCTCACACTGAGACCATGACCTCTGCCTCGCAACACACAACTACCCTTTTGAAACACCTTTAGCTAGCTGCGCCACCAAATAGCTACCAATGCAATGGCGCTGGTGGTGGTTTCAAGCCAAGTTAGGGCTTGATTCAATCCGTATCGCGGAAGATCCGCGCTAAGCGCAATTGAAATGTAAAGGTACTTTCCGATTGAGCCGACATTTGCAGCGTTTACCATGAATGCAGTCTCCGCAAACACAGGAACATTGCCTTTAAATTTCAATCGCGCTATACTGCCGATCTTCCATGATACGCATTGAATCGAGTTATACATGCAACCTTCAAAGAAATTACCATTGAATCTTAGAGAAAAACGGTGTAAAACTTTCATTTGTATAAACAGGGTAAATATTTCATTTTCTTATAGACTATATAAAAAAAACTGTCATAGCCTCTGTGTATAAACTGAAATTGAAAGGTAGTTTGTATAATGCGGTATAAGGGAAAAGGACACAACATAAGGAACGTCGGCCAAATGCAGCCACGGGCAGATGTCCTATCGCTTCTGACCACAGAACATCGGCTGTCATTTTTAAAAAAATCCAGACGATTCTACAGGTTGAAACGCCACCTTTCTTTGACTCCCAGAAGATTATCTACTGCGCACGGCCGACGTTCATAATGGTGTGTTCCATCCTTAAAACAAACTAGTCCACTGACACAGATCATGCCTGTATGTAGGCAAACGGAATTCTGTAACTTTCATTTTAAAAACACCCCACAGCTCTACCATTAATTAAATAATGTCGAAAGATTTAAGGATGTTAAATGGTTTTGATTGAATGGCTTTTTATTCCACCGTTCAAGTCTGTGATTGGTTGATACTGCTGTGACATAGTTCCAAAGACTGAAGCAGAGCAATGCCAGCGGTGCATTATAGCCTGCCGCCAGTCAAGGGTGAGCTGCACAGATCATAGCTAAGTCAATCAATCTAGCTGATATTGTGTGCAGCTGATAGGAATATGTAGGCTTCCCTTGGTTGGGCCATTTTTATACTCCAACTAAGTTAGCTAGTCCATTAGTAGCTATGGAAGTTTTGAAAACATATTGTTAACACTAATTCTCACTAGCCAACTCTGCTTTGACAACAATTACTAGCTAATATATTAACTTGCAGAGGTAGGTACTACTAACTAGCTTGCTAATAAAAAAAATGGCAGCACATAGCGTATTTGTGTCAGCAGATGACTACATTTTTACAGCCAAAGATTATAGCTAATAAAAAGCTTGTCTTCTTCAGCTCAGGCACTGGCATTGCCTTGCTTCGATCTTTGGCTATGTCACAGTTGTATCAACCAATCATATTTTCAAATGATACAATAAAATACAGTTAATCAAGACCGTCAAAAGGCATTCTAAACACTTTCGAATAATGTAGTGTATATTTTGTATTTGTAATGTTT